TTTATAAAATATTACTTTAAAAAATAGCGTGTCAAAACGCTAAAAGCTACCTAAAAAGTTATTACAAAACACAATCTAAATGTTTATCTACATAATTTTAAAATCAAATTTCAACTGTCATGAAAATTTAAATTTTTACAATTTAAAATGCTGTATTTTGAAACTTTTATAATTAAAATGTAAATTTTCACTTAAGATTAAATCAAATAATTTTTAATCAAATTATTTGAGTTTCTTTTTTTTATTATTGAAAGGAATAGAAGACGAGTGTTTTGTTCTTGGTAATTCAGAGAATGAGAGGTAGAGGTGAGAGACACGAAGGAGGGTGATTTTGGAGAAAATATTCATTTATTCGTTATGTTATTATTCCATTAGATTATAAAAATCAATTGCTAGTTTTTTTCTTTTTGTATGTCTCAAAATGTTTGCAAGGTTTTTAAATTTGACATGTAACTAATTATTTTTTTCCACAATAACTTTTATAATTATTTATTGAATGAAGGGCTTTTAATGTCTTAATGAGTTATTAAGGATAAAGAAGGATAAAATAAATTTTGTTGACTAAATTCTTAATACACATATTTTGTCAAACTATACAAATAAAATGAGTGTATTTAGCCAAAGTATGGAGACAGAATAATAATTACCTCATTTATTAAAGTAGAGTTGAAAAGTCTCTCTAATTACTCGTTGATTTTTTTAAAACTTTTCTCAACTTTGAATTTTAGTAAATTATTAGAGAAAAACTATTGATTTTCTTAGTTTTTTCGTAAAACTCTAATTGAAACAAGGAAATCAACATAAAGAATTACTCCCTTTGTTTTTAAATACCTATAATATTTGGGTTTCAAGTTTCTTAAAAAAATCGTTCATTTTGTCTAAGTTATAATAAATTATTAAATAAATTAGCTATATTGCCCTTAATTTGTCTAAGTTATAATAAATTATTGAAGAATTAAAGCAATCACTATTGCTCATATACAAAAGAAATAATTAAGTAGGTCAGTAGTAGGTAGACCCTAGTCGTCCCTCTCTCTCTCTCTTTTTTGTATTTTTTTATATTTTATTTTCTAAATCATGGCCGACCATCAGCAATGATTTTTTTTCGTCCTTTTTCATCTCTTTTCTTTATTCTATTTAGTTTTCTTTCTAATAATTTTTAAAGTAGAGTCGAGTAGTAGTAGACCCTATTGTCGCCTCGTGCTCTCTACTCTTTTTTTTGTAATTTTTTTATATTTTTATTTTTCGTAAATTCATGAGTTGGTGATTATGTTGTGGATTTTTTGGGTGTTTATTAGAATAGGTGCCTGTGTTGGTTGTGACCATCAGCTCATATGATTTTTTTTCTCCGTAATTTTTTTCGTCTCTTTTTCTTTTTATTTTCTATGTTAGTTCTTTCTCTAATAATTTTTTTTAAATTACGTTTGGGATTAATATTTTGTGATTTAGTGTGTTCTCTATGATCTATTAATAAAAGTTTGATTAGGATTCTTGAGTGGTTTTTTTTAATGCGCTTTTAGTGAAGTTATTAATTTTTTTTATTTCCCTTCATATTGGGTTACTTGATTTTGTTTTATTGTGAGAAGGTTTATTTATGGAATCTTGGTTATTTCTCTTTCTCTATTTCCATTAAAATAACTTAAGATTTATTAATGTGTTTGGTTATTTGTGTAGAAATTAAAATCGGGATTTAAGTTTCGATTAATCTTTTTTCTTTTATCGAGGGTGGAGATTTTTGGGTTTTTCTCTTGAATTTTATTTTTTTTGCTATTATTTGTGTATTCATTTAAGTTTGTGTATATTGAACTTACTTATTCTACATGGGTCATGTTAGTATAATTAGTTTCATCGATAATAATATTCAGGATCTGAGTTTTATTGAAAGACAATTTTTCTTTGTTTGTATTCTGAGGTTTGAAAGAGTGTAACGGTTGTTTTTATCCTCGATAAATGTAGTTAACTTCTTCTGACTCAATGTTAAGGAACATCTTGTCATACTACAGTAGATATTTCTCAATTTTTTATATTTGTGATATTCTTTATTGCTCCGATTAGAGAATATTTTATATGGTGTTCAATCCTTACTATTTATTATGTAATGATTAATGTTAAGTGTGTGTTAAAAATAATATTTTATCGTATTGGTATAAAAGTAAAAATGAAAAAAAATATAATTGATATGTGATGTAATTATGTTATAATTATTTTCGGTACTTTTTTTTTTCAAAATCTATTAGTATGTATTTCTGAGTGATTTTCTGAGTAATGCGATATTTTTTTATGTTGGGTTCCTTGTTTTTTCATTCTTATTACTTGAATATTCTATATTGATCTTTTTGTTTAAAATCATCTCCTAGTATTTCAGGTGTAATGTTTGCTTTGGTTACAATATATTTGATTGATAGTGTCTTATAATCGTGTTTTATTGTGGTTTATACTGATATAATATGTGTGATGCTGTTGTAGAAACATAAGTCCTTATTTTTTCGCTCCTAGTTAGCTCATTTCTTGAGTGTTTTTGATATCCTTTTAGTGAGGTTATTAATTTTTTTTTTCCTTCATAGGGTTATTGCTTGTTATTGAGAAGTTTTTATGTGAATCTTTTATTTCTCTGACAATTCCAAATACAAGATAGATTGTTGGTTATTTGTAGATGAAAACTTCAGATCTTTAAGTTCGAATAAGTTTCTTTTACCAATGGAGCCTGATATTGCATCATGTTTATTCATTAAAGTTTGGTATATTAAACTCTTCTACATATGTCAGTTGTAATTAGTTTCCGGAATAATAATATTCAGGACAATATTATGAAAATTTTCTTTTGTTATTCTATTTGAAAATGAACTAGTTTTTATCCGAAAGATTAACCTCTTCTGACCAAATTAAGAACATCTGCAAACAGAAGATTTCAATTTTTTATATTTGTATTTCTTATTCCGATAAATATTATGATGTGTTCAACTTACATTCATTATTAATGAATTGTTAAGTTTTAAAAAACTATTAATCGTATATAAAAGGTAAAAATGAAAAAAATAATTAATTATTTATGAAATTTATAATTTTCGTATTTTTTTCAAATCTAATAAGTATTTAGGAGCTGAGGAAGCAATTTTTTATGTTGATTTCCTTGTTTTTCATTCAATTACTAGAAATTTCATTATTGATTTTTTTTAACACCCCTAGTTTCATATAGTTGCTTTATTACAATATTGAAGAGCTAAATCTTTATTTTAACGATATAAATGAATTAGAAACATAATCCTATTTTCCTTCATAGCCAATTATAAAATACTAAAATGAAGAATAATTAATTTATCCCACTAACTTAAATTAATGATTAACAACCGCTTGATAATGACATTTGAGCCAAAATAATTAATTAAAGTATGATCATACATTAACAAATGAAAGACAATCAAAGATGAAGAAAATTAATTAATTAAAGTATATGATCATACATTAACAAAGGAAAGACAATCAAAGATGAGAAAAAAAATAATTAATTTGCTACCCATATCCAGCCAAGCCGACAACCACCACCAGTTATTTTCATTAATTTTTTTAATAATTATTTTGCACCGCATAACCTTTTTTTTCCTGCAATTTTCTCATAATTAATATCTATTAAATTAGTCACTAACCGGCCGGATTTGAGGTCAACACTTTATTATATATTGCTCTCAAAAATAACATCGTACTTGAAAATGTGATTAGCAAGCCCAATTATGGATTACTGAAATAATGTCCTTTTCCTACCTTACGTGCTTCAGTATTATAATGAATGGCGATGATTAGACAAAACTTAAGATTCACCCGCTACAGGGTTTATTAGTTATGTTATTTTATGAAAAAAAAAAAAAAAAGAAAGGATGATTTAACCCACCAATGAGCTGGAACTTGTTCAATTCGTTCAAGGTTTGATACGGTGATTAAAAATTTTATTAATTTGATTAAATTATTTTTATCTCATACCATTAATACTAATTTATTTAATGTAAAAATGGGAAAAAAAGTTCGTTAATTATTCATTAATATTTTTAAAATAATTTATACTTATAGATAAAAAAAATTAATCTAAAACGATTTATATTTATAAATAAAGAGAATATATAAATTAAAATTATAAATTCAAAATATTTTGAGAATAAAAATTTTTATTAATTTAATAAGTAAAGGAGAAAATTAATCATTTTATGTAGCTCGTAAGATTCTTTGAATCCGATAGTCCTTCCGACCAATAATAAAAAGAAATTCTAAAAAAAAAGGTTGATATGAATTGCGTGACATTGTTCTTTTCTTTTTCCCGATTTGGACCACAAATGTTTTGTCCAAACTTGTGGAGCAGTAGAATATGATTATCCATGAATAACTTTATGAGTCATAAACTTATAATATTCCTAAAAAATAAAAAAATAAAAAAACAGAAAATATGATTTTGTTGGTGGTGATAGTGGAAAAGTAGTGGGAGTGGGACCACACTGAACATTTAAAGACCCAGAAACAATCATAGAATAGCCAGGGGAGGCGGCATCTTGTCTTACCAACAATGCTAAACAACAAACCAAAACGTGAGCTGTCAACGCACGGCTCCATTTTCGTGGCGCAAGAAACACCAAACTGTCACTGCAAATTAACCACCACAAGTTTATCTTTTCAGGTCTTCGTCTCGGCCCAGTTGGGCCCATTCCTTCTTTCTCTCTCCTTAAATTAGAGGATCAGATCATTTCCCTTCTCTGATCACATGACTCATCAGTGTCCCAATACCACACCCCCCATAATAATAAGCATATACCTTTTCTTACAGAATCAAATATATTATATTCTACATATTACCTTCAGCTGACTCAGCAGTCTCTATCTCCTTTTCCTTCCAAAAAGTTGGCTGCTTTTTCCGACGTGGCTCTAATATCTTCATCGGCAGCCACTTGTCATTTGCCACGTCATTTGTCAGACTCCATCCGTAAATCAACCCGTTTGGGCCTTTAAAAACCCAATCAGCATCCTTCGCAAAACCTCCTGTTTCATTTTACAACCTTTCTTTACAAAAGTCTCTCTGTTCTGTTTTCTTCTGTTCTTCATTTTTTCCCCTTCATTTCTCCAGATTTTAATACTAATCAGTAATCAGTTTCTTGAATATTAGTGAGATGGAGATTCCGGTGATCAATAGAATAGGCAATTTAGAAACCGGCATAGCCTCTCTTCAAAACCCATCATTTCTTTCCCAGATTTTTGCTTCATCTGGGGTCGAAAAAATCCACCAAGCTTACAGTTTTTGGAAATGGGGAGCTTTGATTCTTGCTTTCGTCGCCTCTTTCTCGACCATAATTAACAGAATCAAAATCCTAGTTATTCGAATCCAAAATCACTATTTAATCCCTTCCTCACCTCCGATTAGTACGCAAGAACATTATGACTTCGACAGCGATACCGACACGTCGTGTTCTTCAATGTCGGACGACGAAGAAGAAGAAGAAGACGAGCCTAGTTTATCATCATCGTCTTCTTCGCAGAGCTGGAGGTCCATTGATGAAGATTTTAGAGTCAGAGGCTCCGGTCATCATTTCGATAACCAGTTTCAAAATCGTAGTTTAAGGAGACGTAGAAACAGTAGTCTTGAAGATCTCTTTTCTTCTTGGTCCGAGTTCACAAATGGAAAGAACGTAGTGAAGCTTTGGGATAATTTAGGATTCGGATTAGGGCTTAATCTTGAAAATGAGTCAACAAATTGCGTTTCTGTTTATGATATGCATAAAGAGCAAGACGTGTTTTCCATTTTTGGCGAGAAATGTAAGATTCCGGCTGTTTGTACCTCTTCTTCTTCTCCGGCGGTTATTTTTTCCGGCGAGTCAAACACTTCTGGACATTTATTAAAGTTGTGGGACACTCGTCTCGGGAGTCGGCTACCAGCCATACTAGCGGAGTGGAAGCCGAGGTTGGGAAAATTTGTCGGAGTAAGTGCCGCAGGCAACGAGAAGGTTTATGTCAGGGATGACATCACGGGACGGTTAACGGTGGGTGATATCAGAAAAGTCAGCTCGCCGTTAGCAAATGCGACTGACTCTGACGTGGATACGTGGTGGGATGCTGACGCCGTTATTGTCGAGGAAGATGTGTGGTGACCTGTGACCGTTTCTGTGGACGAGTTGTGCAGTGAGCTGTGACTCGGCATTGCGACACGGTTAGACTGACCATGGGGTGGAAATGGCAAAAGGGTCAATTCAAAGAAAACTCTGTAAATAATTATTTATTTATTAGATAATAATAACAATAATAATAAATTAATAACAAGAGAACAATTAAAATAAAATAATTGCAAATTAATAGTGAATCATTGTTTTTTTAAAGGTTTTTTTTTTTTCTAATCTATCAATGACCAAATTGATAGATGATTTTATAATTCAATAATATTTATAAAATTAAGGACCGACGTTTATTAATATTAAATTAACGAAAATTCAAATGGAATATGTATATCTATGAAAACTAAATATTTAAAATTGAATATATTTATATATGAAAATTAAAAAAACGAATCAAATCTTATTTGATTAACTGTATTTGTTTTGATTGATTTAATTTAGTTGAAGTAACCGAAAATTAACTTCTATGTAATTTCCTTTTATTGACGGTTGAAAAGTGAAAAGAAAAAGGAAACCTAAACACAATTCATAACTCAAAGACAACAGAGTTACAGGATTAATTTTCAAATAAAGAAAACAACTTGAAATAAATAGAAAATAATGCCATTGTTCTTTGAATTTCAAATGTGCCATAAAGAAAATAAAATTGACCAATAAAATAAATTCATTTTGGAGCTGTAGCTGTATTAGAAAATGATAATAGTGTTTACACCGTAATTTTCAACATTTGAATTAAAAAAAAAAAAAATAGGAGGATCTATCTTCCTCAAATTTAAATGTAAAATTCCATCACAAATTCAAAGAATTAAAAATGAGCTAATTTTAATTCAAACAATATTTTGAAGATAATAAAAGTGATTTATGAGATAATAAAATTATTTCAAATTTTAATTAATATATAAAGAGAGAGGATAAGTTTGGAAAGCTTGGACGGAGACTAATTTATCACGTGCGGGAAAACCTACTGGAGGAAATCTAAATTCTCAAGTTTGAATAAAATCATTGTATTGTTAAAACTAAATTGTTTCTGGAGAAGTTGAGAAAATGGATCAATTATTAGTTGTAGTGAAAATGAATGCGTTACGCAAGTGAAATGGTTCTATACGTGTAAGCAATATTGTACTAACGAAGTAACTTCTAGGAAAATCTTGAATCGGTCCATCGTGTTGGGGGTTTTTCCTAAACGGGCATAGAAAACAAAATTGGACTATACACGAAATGAGCAAGGACACAAAAACAGAAACACATCTATATGCAAAATTCGGAAAGATGATTGCATCAAGTTAAGAAATTTGGTGGATCAAATCACTTACTTAATTTGCTCTAGTTTTAGTGCAAAATTCAAAAAGCATTTCTCTTTTATGTTAGGTTTTATTGTTGGGTATTGGATGAAAGAAGATTCGAACTTGAATCAATTGTCAAGACGTACGTACACTTACTACTAAGTTATGTCATGTGTACATTATATTAAGTTATATAACAAATACAAAATTTCATATTATTAATATAGAAAAATAATATTATTAAGTTATGTCAAGACGTACATACACTTACCACTAAGTTATGTCATGTGTGTATCATATTAGTTTTTATAACAAATATAAAATTTCATATTATTAATATGGAAAAATGATATATAAATTGAAACAAAAATTGTAAAAAATTTTAGATATTTTTTCTTTCGTTAAATTTGACACTTTTACTTTTTCTTTTTTTTTTTTTTTTTTTTAAGATTCGAACTTGAATCAATTGTCAGACGTACGGCTTACTACTTAAGTTATTGTCATGGTGTACAGTTTTATAATTATGTATATAAACTCCAAATACAAAATTTTCCTGTAATTAATTAATATAGAAAAACATTATATTATGGTAAGTTATGTCAAGACGTTTACATACAACTTACCACTAAGTTTATGTCATGTGTGTATCATATTAGTTTTTATACAATATAAAAATTTCATATTATTAATTATGGAAAATGATATCTACAATTGAAAACAAAAATTGTAAAAAAAATTTTAGATATTTTTTCTTTGTCTTAAATTTGACACTTTTTCTTTTTTTTTTTTTTTTTTTAACTTTTTTAATAATTCTTATCATTAATGTTCTTCAATTGTTTTTTTTTTTTTTTTTTTTTTACTTTTATAATTCTTTTATCAATTAATGTTCTTCAATTGTATCCTTGTTTAAACATTTCAATAAACTGTCCTTCTTAATTATAAAAAATCAATAAAAATAATATAATCTTTCTTGAATAAGCTGATTTAATTATTTCTTAATTATTCTTTAAAATAAAAAATGTAAAATTTAACTAAATGGAAGGAATAATTGAAAACAACCCACTCCAATCTGAGATATGCAATCAATAAATGTATAGTGGTTGACAGGAGTATTTATTCTCATTGGACACAAAATATATGCTCTATTATTATGAACCAAAAACCAAAAAAGAAAAATGTGCTTTTCTGCTCTGCATATCCAATGGGAATAATGTATAGATGCTTCTTCATATTTGCACCAATAGTTCTAAAGCTGCTATCTTATAATTTATATTCTTAAATATTTATTTTTCTTAAAATTGATAATATGAAAAATGTTTTCTTAGGGCAACAAAATTAGTTGTTGTACCTAATGAAGGTGGGACATATGCTTTTTCTTGCTATTACAATTTAATGATCCTTCATCAAATTATTTGATTATAAAATAATTTAAATTTCATTATTGGTCCTTTTACAATTGTATTGTCCCACCTACACTTAAAATTTCTTTTTCCATATCTCAATATGAGGTCCCAGTTGTATACTATCATGTTAGTGGGACAGGATTATTAGGTTTAGGAATAATTATTAATTAATTCCATGAATAATGATTTCCTAAATTATGGAGTTCTAAGTTTAGCTACTTAATTGCATATTTTATAATTAAATTTATTCCATACCATATGAAATTTAATGAGCATATAATTAATTTTATAATTTTTTTTTAGAAAAAAATCTTTTAATGTAGTATAGGATTTTTTTGCTAATATAACATGTTATATTATAATTTTATAGTGTATTTATATTTCTGGTGAGTTTTATTTTCTATTTTATATCGAATAATAAATCTTATAATATATTACTTATTAAATAATAATACATTACACTTACTTTTTTTTATTGAATAAGTTAATGGCAATAATTACAACCAATTAAATTAAAGATTTATTAAAAATAATAATTAAACATATATAGATAATTGATACATTACACTTACTTTTTTTTATTGAATTAAGGTTTCTGATGGTGCTAAAAAATTAGGCTAACCAATTAAATTAAAGAAATTTAATTAACTTTATAATAATTTATTATAGTATCACTGTTCCTAATGTAGCTAGCAAATATGATTATGGCCTAGTTATATATATTACTATATATATATATATTATATATATAATATCAATCCATACTTTAATTATTCCACCTTATATAGTATTATATATACCAATTACCAAAGTTAACTTAATTTTTATATTGACTCCACTCTCCAATATAGTAAAAAAATCATTAATGGCATTTCTTATCATATTTAAGATATGATCTCTATTTAATTGTATCCATTAAAATATGTGTTTGTATTACGCGTAAAGTAACACATTTGATGTACCATATTTAATTCTTATTTACTTATAAGGTAGTCATAGGTTGGTATTTAATCACGGTTTTTATATATATACTATATATATATATATATATATATATAAGTATATATATATATATTATACCCTATAAACCCTACCCTATCTATTACCATAAATCTTGTATATATTACCTTGGTACAATTTACTATCTAATATAATTTGTATATATTACCATTACAATACTATCTAATATGCATATGTTATATTAACATATATTATATATATATTACGTATTTAATATGTATATTATATATCTCATTTAATATTATATTATATGATTTCGATTTCGAACCACGGGTTCCAGTTATAAAAAATGTGATATCAAATAGTATTACCATATATAATTTAATTTTTTATTTATCCAATAAAATTTAGATTTAAATATTAGAAAATTGATACGACCAGTTTAAAGTTAATTACCCTTTATTTTTTTTCAAACCATCAAAATAAAATCCTTAACCATATCTGTGCGGTTGTGGGTTTTCTACAAGGACATTTATCCTCTTCTAAATGGGTAGAATTGAAAATATGACGTCCTGCTCAGAGTTGGGCCGGGCCACCAGGTCCAGTCCACTGGCTGATTTATGATTTATCATCATTCAATAGTTTTAGCAAATTTTACCGATCATTAGGTTTAGGCAGGCATGTGTGTCATTCCAAACACCATCCACGACAAGCAGCCAAATAATTTTTTTTTTTTTTTTTTTTTTTTATATGATAATGAGACATTCGAAAAATATTTTTATATTTTATTTATTAAATATTTAATTCTTTTATGACATTGATAAAAAAAAATTTTTTTTTTTTTTTTTTTTTTTTAAAACTCAATCTTATCGAGAGCTTCACCATCAAAATCACGAAGTTCAATTTGGTTCTTAATTTTTTTTTTCAGTTATATCAATCCAATTCAATTATATCTTTGCAATCAAACCGCCGAATGCATAATTTTTCCTTTGAATTTTCTTCAAATTGCCATTTATGCCCCTTAATTTTGCGAAGGGCCGCTTATGACCCTTAACTAGTGTTTTCTGTAACTTTTTTATCCCTGAGCAAATTGAAATTTGTGCATGAATTACACTCGCATTGATCGGTCATAAACAGTTGAAATGTTATCATTTGAGACGCCACGTTGGTTTCCACATGTTCAAAACTAACAGGAAAGAGAAAAACAAAAATATAATTGAAAGATCACAATAACCCAAATGAAAGATCGAATTTGTTTTTTTGAAATTAAAAGAAAGAAAAATCTGTTTAAAAGGGGAAGAAAAAAACATTACCTGCAAAACGAAGAATCTGAAGATGAGAAGAAGCTAGAAAACGGAGCAGTATCATAATTTTTCAAAAGTAACATGATTCATCGTTAATGGAGGCCACAAACAAACTAAAACAGCTGAAATCAAGAAAAACAAGAAGAAACACATGCAAGTATTTTCTCATGCTTTTTGATCTGGTTGGATTGAATCTGACTATTCAAAATTCCATGATACAAATCGCATGCAAAATTAAAGAAGATAACCTGCCCAAAAGATGGAACTTTGATAGAAATTTAAGGTAATTAAGAGAGATTTAAGAGGCAAAAAAAAAGACAAAGAAAGAGAAATTATGGAATTAGAGAGATTTGAAGGAAAGTAAAGGATTTATGAAATTTAAGTTGAAAAGGGAAGGGAATAAACTTAGATTATGGAATCGAGAATCTATGAGATGAGGATTTTGGTTTTGCTCTCTCTTTGCTATCTGTATGTGCCATTTTCGTGTAGAGATGACCAAGTTTTGTGAAGAAGAAAAGGAAGAAGGACGAAGAAGATAGAGAAACGGAAATTAAAAGAACAAGATTTAAGAGAGAGATAAAGAAGTCCAAATATGATGTGGTTTAAGCCACATCAAATAATTATCAGACTATCACATTCTAAGTAGTGTTTGAAGTCATGTTCTGCCTTTCCAGCATGACAAGAGGTAAAAAAACTATAAAAAAAACACTAGTTAAGGAGTACAAATGGTAATCTGAAGAAAATTCAAGAGGAAATTATGCATTTAGCAATCAAATTGGCAAAAAACTTTTATTTTAAAGCCGTTTAAGCTAAAAGTCAATGTGAAATGAATAAAAAATATTGTTTCAATTGAACATTAAATTAAAAAAGTTTACATTTTTAAATAAATCAAATTAACGAGTTATATAAAAAAATAATCTAATATAAAACATCTAATAGAGTTAACATAACACATAATTGATTCACTTTCTTGCACTCTACCTATGGTGTTATATGACCAATATTCAACTTCTTCGTCTTTTATGGACAATAATTATGTTAAAGATTTAACCCTTAAGTACAAATTAATTAATTAATTAATTAAACGTGAGATGAAAACTGATCAATGCGATAACCGAGCATGAGAGATTGAACTTTTCCCTTATTGGATGGTTAAAGAATTAATAAATTAAAATGAACATGCTAGTTCACATTTGATAGTTTCCCATCTCCCTAAATTTCAAAATTAAGAGAGAGAGAGAGAGAGAGAGAAATAAATCCAATTAACTAATTACTAATTAACTTTACTTCTTCTTCTTCTTCATATAGCCATGCATTTCAATATTCAGGTAGCCCTTTGATGAACTCCAAAACAGAAGAAGACATCGGACTCATCATCTTCGGTGACGACATTGCACATACAGGCCTAGGCGATCTCGGGCTAAAGAAATCCACCGCCGTCGGTGTGAATAAAGGAATATCAGCGAAGTTATTATTTTTCGGCGGATTAAGAATCGGCGAAATGTCACCACCGCCACGTTTCTCATCAGTTGAACTAACTGAAGAAGGCTCATTATCTTCATTACCAACACTAACAGGCTTTAAACCCTTTTGTAGATGTCGTCGCTTTTGAATCATCGCAGTTTCATCATTTCCAGAGCTGGAAAGACCCGTAAGTTTTTGAACTAACGCCATGAAATCTCTTGCTTGTGTGTGGATAACTTTAGGTGAATGCGTGTAGATAATGACCGGATTCTTTCGTTGCTGCTTAACTCCATTTCCAACCCCACCATCACCGCCAACTGGAGCTATTACTGATATTGATGAGGACGATGACTGTTTCTGAACCAGATGAGATTCTTTGTTGATCTTCAATGGAGATGGGCGAGTGCCATTAATGTTATGTGGGTTATGAAACCTTGCCGGACTCATTATGTCTCTGCTGGAAGCCAATGAAGAAAATTAAACTAGAAGATATGTATATTAGTTATATAGAGAGAGAAAGCAATTTATACGGATAAGCAAAACAAGAAAGAAGATTCAGTTTTGTAAGTTTGTTGCTAACTTGCTATAGTAATCGGTTATATAAACAAATGAAAGAGATGTGTAAAAAAATATAAAAAAGAAAAATAAATAGAAAGATGTGAAATAATAATTGATAGAATAGCCAGCGATCCTGACCGTTGACAAAAGGAGGAGGAGTTGAAATGTAGCGGTTTCCTTTCGTCTTTCTTTCTTCTTCTATGGCTGAATTTTAGGGTTATTGTGGCTGGCTTTGTCGGCTCGGCTGGCCAGATGGCATTGGGATGAGCCATTCATTGCACCATCTAGCTGACCAAGTTGCCAAAAGGAATTTGACTTTGGGCCTTTCGACTCGGCTCATCCAAAGCCCAGCTGAATCGCTTCAAATTGTTGAAAGTCATAGTCAAAGTAATTATTTATTAATATTTTTGCCTTCTTGCAATAAGTCAAAAGTAAAATTGCTCCACCTAGCATACTTTAATGCTAAATTTATATACGAGGCGGCAATAAATTTAGAAAAATAAAATAAAATTCACTTGATTATATTTTTTATCATGCATTTTTTTTAATTTTTTATGAGTAATTTTCCTTTTTCTTTTAAAAAAAAAGAAAATAAATAAAACTAACGGATGTAAGCCACATCAACTACATATATCATGGGACTTAAAGGAATAAGATATGAAAATGAGATTTAAAAATATTACTATCTCTGTTCTATAATTCTTGTTATATTTGAAATTTCACGTTCTTTAAAAAAATAATTAAATTTATTTAAGTTAGAATAAATTATTAAGTAAATTGATTATATAATCCTTAATTTAATATTAATTCTCTAAGAAAACTATTAAATTGAATTAATAATTATTGATTATAGCAAAGGGTAAACATAGAAAAAAGGGATTTATTACTCTTTGAAAACCACAAATATAACAAGTATTTTGGAACAAAGTATTTTTTCAAATGTAACAAGTATTATAGAACGGAAGTAATATATTTTTTATTTAGTTTTTCTCAAAATATCCCTTTATAATATTAAATGAAGGACATCAATTAGAAATATGGATATACATTAAATAAGAGTATATTAAAAAATTAGACAATAATAATATTTTAAAAAAGAAAATAGAACTTTATTTTAAGACAGACGAAAAAAAAAATCAGCTTCTATACATGAGACAGAAGGAGTGACCGTTAAATTTGACAATTAAAGCGACGGCCAACCTCGCTAAAGACTAATTAATGAGCTCAGCATGAAATTCTTATAAAATTCATGTTCTAATAATGAAATGTAGCACTTAATAAAACAAGCCGATAAAAAATGTCAATGGCTATACTTTTCTCTTCCTTGAATAAGATAATAAAATAACACAAAATTTAAAAATCAACTTTAAAATCTTGAGCTAAAAATTTAAATATTTAAGAATAATTGGGTGAAACATGATGAAAATAACCTAATCCCAACCTGCTTCACATCATTCCTAATTAGACGATAGTGTGAACATATATATCGACAGCCAAAAAACAAAAATGTGAGTACATGAAATTTGAAAATAATTAAATAGAGGAACAAGTCAAAAAAACCAACCTTAAATCCGACAACAATATTTTAAATTTTTGGTGTTGAAAGCCGGTGTTTGACGGCTATATTTATTCTTCTTCAACTCTAATTCCTCCCAAATGCATCCACAATCCTAATTCAAGCTTGGTCTGCTAATTTTTATGTATTTTTCAATTTGAAAAAAATTTATCTAAACCTGATTCATGGCACCATTTATAGAGAAAACCAATAAAATTAAAAATTCTTATTAAAACGAAAGTATTTATGATCATACATTCAAAAAAAAAAAATCGGAATGCTTTTTAAAAATTCTTAGTTTCATTTTGTTAAACGGAACCGATGAAGACTAATCTGAGTGAAAAGGACTCATATTCTTTAAATAGGAGGTCAAGTGTTTCATTATTGTGAATTAAGAAAATTTCAGATGACAACGCTTCCTCTTTATGAACTTGACGCAGCACGAGCATAAAATATTAGACAAATATTATTTTTAAAATTTATAATTGTGGAAGTATTAAATAAATAATAAAATAAAATAAAACAAACAAATCACCTATCTCACTTTTACTATTATTGCATCTATGATGAGATGATAATATTTTATTCTTTTATCTGCTACGTTATGATTATAAAATATACTAACATTTATGAAGAAAAAATTATGAGATAGTTAGTAGTTAAATTAAGGATTATGAGGTGAATAAAAAAATTTATATGGTAAATAATATTTATACAAATTATATTCCTCTTCTTTTAACCCTTTGTAGAAAATGCCAAGGGAAATTAAGGGGAAAAACAAAAGAAGGATAAGATATTAAGAAGGAAGTTTTGAGTGGGGAAAAACACATTCTTTGGAAACATAGACTATTCATTGGAAGCTTAGACATTCCATTGACTCGCTAATCTCTTGTTTGTTATATTTTGATCACTAGAGAAAAAGGTTTTGAAAAAAAAAAAAGTTTTCAACATTTATTTTTTTAAAAGAGATTCTTTTTACAATAATATATTGTAACAAAAATATGTATAATCATTTAAATTAAAAATTTTAGCCACTTTCCAATTGAAATGTTAGAATTCAAGTATTCAACTATACCATTACATTAAAGCAGTTTTGACGGTCTATGGTAAACTTGACTAATTTTCACTCGCCTTTGAAAGCAAAAAAGCTAACTTGAGAGAAATATGCGTTGCAAAGAATTGAACCCATAATCTAAGCCATGATGATCAATCTCGCAAGTATTGTTTCCAAATCAACTACTTCATTCGGGCTAAGAGTGTTCAAACTTCAAATAATAGCAAGTTAGCAAATTTAATTTTTGGAATTTGACCCAAACAAAGTCTAATGCATGGCCAGCAAAGGTTTTAGGTATTGGGTTTTGACAAAGTTATGGTCAACAAAAATGGGCTTAACAAGCTCTAGCAATGTCAAAAAGCCCTCTCCATCTGCTTCAAATTCAAAATTAGCTAATGTTCAATTCAAATTCCAAGCTATTACAAATCTTGATTGGAAATAATTTTCACCTTCTTCACTCTTTCTATTGGTTGGAATTGACATTTAATTACAAACGGTTATTTCATGTGAAGGGCCCAAATTTAAGAATTATTAAATTATTTTTATTTAAATAAATAATAGAAATATTTGACAGTAACACTAATTATAATCAATATATGATCATACCAATGAAATGAAAGACGGAAAATGATTGCATCTCCAAACGGACTTCATCTGTGGATTCAGTAGTTTGAAATTTGAATCCCTGTTAGAAGAATTTTATTTAAATATCACTCTTAAATTGAGCATGGAGACACTTGTGTATAAGACCAAAAAAAAAAATTATAATCTATAACTAATAATGGCTACTAGATTTTTTTTTTCTTTTTGGAAAAAAAAAAAGGCAGTGGAGGGAGACACTGTTACAGCTTACATGATATAATGAACGGGCTAAAAGCCCAACAAAACAAGACTCTTTCTTTGGGCCTACTTCTCATCTTAGATGGGCCAAAACTCGTGCAAGATAGTAAAGATAATGTGATGGTTTCGAGTTTCTAATGTCTCTCTCAAGAAAATAAAAAAGAAATTATCACGTACTGGTTATACTATTTGTTTTAATTTTAAATTAACAAAAAATAGAATTTAATATATTAATTTATAGCATTGAAAATGTACTACCACTTGCTCATAAATATTTATTTGTTTGACATTTGGATGATTAATTAATATTTGGGATTTCAATTTTGTTCTTCGCAGTGCTGGTAGAGTGATAATTTGAAATTTAGTGTTTCTTATTTTAATATTATAGTCCAAATAGTAATGAAATTGAAATGTCTTTTATTTTTCTTTTTGAGAGTTAAAATTGTAATTCTTAATTATTAGCATTTTCTCTACCATTAGTTATATGGCTAGTCACTAGCTCAGATGTTCCTAACCATCTACAATTAATCATAATTATGAATTGAAGATCCTACTCTATATATATACATGGATTATTTTCAATTTTTGTTTGGTTGTTTGGTTTTTGATTTCAATTTTCTATAACTTCGGCTTTCGATTATTGCAAAACAATTATTCTATGAGGAAAGCCGCAACAAACCGAGCAATTCGATTTTTGAACTTATTTCAGTGCAAATCGATTTCAACAAAAAGCGAGTTTCGATTTTCGATTCCAATCAGACCACTTGCAGTTTGCACACCTCTTTTTCTTAGGCTAGATTTTTATCCTCGAGGTCAAATGGGATGGAACATTATATATAGATTTGACAAAAGTGATTTTAAAAATTTTAATTTTATTGGTTAAAAAAATAAAGTGATTTGATTTAATTGGTTATATTACTTTTCTTATTTAACTCTAAATTTTATTTGCTAAAAAACTAATTGAGAAGTTTTATACTGCTTAAAATTTTTAAACTATGCTATTATAGAAATTTTTTCATATCTTAATTAGGAATTCTATATTTCACCATGTGTTTGATTTAATGGTTATATTCTTTTCTTTTTATCTATAATTTTATTTGCTAAAAAAACTAATTGAGAATTTTATACTGCTTTAAAATTTTTTAAAACTATGCTTATTATAAGAAATTTTTTCATATCTTAATTAGCGAATTTTTATATTTCACCAATATATATATATTATATATATATATATATTATATATATATAATATATATATATATATATATAATATATATATATTATTATATATATATATATATATATTTATTTTATGTAATATATTATTTATGTAAGTTTTACTTAATTTCATTATAAGGATTTCTTTACTTTCATTGTTAGGAGTTTCGCTATCAAAGTTACGTTTTATCACACATTTATTATGGTTGATCATTGATATATTAATTCTAATTTTTATAAATTTTACTTTGTGTTTATGCATAAAATATTATAAAATATTAAATTTTATTATCACTTATGTATTTAATTTATCTTGTATCGACTTACA